AACCAGCAAAACCCGAACTCCTAGAACCCTAACACATAACTAAATTTTGACAAACAAAACCCGATCAGCTAGAAATCAATCTATAAACACGATCTACTTAAGACCGATCAACTTGAAGCCGAATAACTAGAACCTAATTCACTAGTATTCGATTAAATAATACATATTCGAAAAATAACGATGAAAGAAGCTGAATTCTTGCCACAAACTCTAATTTGTTAATCCCTATATCTTTGCAGCCCGAAGTAGTAGATCTTAAATATCTAAAACATTGAATTCTGTGAGATTTAATAGTCAGAGTTAGAAATGTTAAAGGTTTACACCAACAGGTTGCAAAGATATAGGCATGAAAAAATTGGAGTTTGTGTCAAAAACTCAGTTCCTTTAGGTTTAGATATCACTAATGCAAGTTCCTTTTATACACAAAACTCATAAAATGTTTCCATTTGTTATTCTAAAAACACTTGAGATAAGACAATGAGAGGAAGAGGATATGTGTATATATATATCAGTTAGAACCCTTTAGGATACATTAACCCTAACTAGGAAGAGTTAAAACGAACCAGTAAAATGAAATGATGAGAAAAATAAGTTTACAAAAAATCTTCCAAATATTCAACGCTCTTCGTTTTCCAAGACTTCTTGAGAACAAATAATTACAAAATAAGACCGAGAAAATGTATAAGAAGCTTGTTATCTGAGTACAAAATAATTACAAGACCGAGAAAATGTATAAAAAGCTTGTTATCTGAGTACAAAATAATTACAAGACCGAGAAAATGTATAAAAAGCTTGTTATCTGAGTACAAAATAATTACAAGACCGAGAAAATGTATAAAAAGCTTGTTATCTGAGTACAAAAGCCAGACTTCAATCTATTGAAAGTTGTACACGCCTGTATAAAATTATCAAACAGATGCATCTAAAGAATGAAGTAGCAAACTCAGTTATCCGAACCATTCAATTCAATAAAACTGCTGGAGACTGGAGGGCATGAGAGCAGGAGACGAAAAGGTTAAGAGACCCGGTTATAAAGGTGAACCAAAGACTAGGACGGATGAGCAGGGAATAAGAATTTACCAATTAATCCCATCAGAAAGATAACACTAGAGGCATGATCTGGCGGAGCGTGGAGGCAGATTCTTAGATTACAGGGTGTCAACAAAAACTTACCATGTATCAGATTGGTTCTATCTGTTCAGTCTATAATGGTTCTAGATCTTATAAGTAACGAAATGTATGAAAGCAACGGAAGTGTACAGTTTCCAATGCAATTTGAGAGGATAAACTTTAACATCCTGTCCTCTCTGGTGTGTATGTTTAGACCAACCTGGATTCCTGGTATTGAGTTGGAACCCGCAACTTTACTCTGTGTCAAACCTGTATACGAAGCCAAGGACGAACTCAACACAATTGTAAATACTTAAAAATTAACTAAACAATGAAATTAAAACAATGGTTAACTTCGTACCAAATATGTTTCTGGTTTGGGCCCGATAGTGCTTTTTGTGAGGGGTGGGGCGAAGAGTTGGGAGTACAAGGAGAAGAAAAAGGAGAAGAGGAAGAGAAGGAGGAAAACAGGGAGTCGAAGAGATAAGGAGAAAAGAAGGATTAGGAGGAGGAGCAGAGGAGTAAATGAGGGGAAGGAGAAAAAAGGTGGAGTAAATGAAGAGAAGGAGAAGGAAGAAAGGAGGAGTAAATGAAGAGATGGAGGAGGAAGCAAGGAGGAGTAAATGAAGAGAAGGAGGAGGAAGATAGGAGGAGTAAATGAAGAGAAGAAGAAGGAGGAAAGGAAGAGAAGGATGAGTAAAGAAAGAGAAGAAGAAAGAAGAAAGAAGGAGTAAATGAAGAGAAAGAGGGGAAGACAGGAGGATAAATGAAGAGAAGGAGGAGGAAGAAAGGAGGAGTAAATGAAGAGAAGGAGGAGGAAGAAAGGAGGAGTAAATGTAGAGAAGAAGAAGGAAGAAAGGAAGAGTAAATGAAGAGAAGAAGAAGGAATATAGAAGAAGTAAATGAAGAGAAGAAGAAGGAAGAAAGGAGGAGTAAATGAAGAGACGAAGAAGGAAGAAAGAAGGAGAAAGGAAGAGAAGGAGGAGGAAAAAGGTGGAGTAAATGAAGAGTAGAAGAAGTAAGAAGGCAGGATAACGAGAGAAGAGGAGATTTAAAGACTATATTCATTATATAACGAATCCCTCTGCAAGTCCTGTTAATTTCCAATATTGGTGTAAATGTGTATGTGCTAGATATTGAAAATAAAAAGATGAAAATGGAACTACCAAAGCAGTTCAGAAACATGAATGACGATGTAATGAACAATATATTTAAATTCGGACCTGTTTAAGAAATTAATTAATTCAGTTCAATCTTTTTTCTTAAATCATCGTAGTTAGAGAACTAAGAAACCAACTACAGTTCTATAATTAGCTTAAATAGTTACAGGATAATTAGGGTTCGGTTGTTAAAAGTTTAGTCACCTTTTAAGATAGAAAAATAAATTAAATAAACGTTTTTTGTATATGAAGACCAAATTCAATATCAATAATCTTAAAACAAGTTTGATTGATCAGAGGTGAAGAAGAAAAAAGCTGACCAGGCATACAGCCATAAATAAAATGTCAGATTCTAAGTTTAAAATCTATTTTGAAAATGTGTCAGGACTGGAAACAAATAAGGTTTCCTCTTGTGGGGATATCCCACCATCCATCCGACAAAATATCTTACAGATATAAATGGTTTTAGAATTGTCTTCTTATAAAAGGAATTGAGCAGGTGAGAGGGGGAGCAGAGGCGTATTCAGGGGGGGGGCNGGGGGTTTTCAGGCCCCAACGGGTGCTGAACCCCCCACCTCGGGAAAAATTCCTGAATACGCCCCTGGGGGGGGGGATGGGGAGGGCAGCTTTATTTATTGACTAAAGAGGTTCATCAAAGACGTTACCCTTAACACCTTTATCCACCTTATATCTGAAAAACGTTGACATAAATATATTTTGTAAATTGCTTCTCTGTGAAAATGAATCCACAAGTTGAATCAGAGAACCCGCAAATGAATATAAACACATTAAAGAAACAAAAACATGAATACCTAATTCATACTTGATCATACAAAGGTTTCAAGGGTACCGTTGTAAATCGGACATTATCATCTTTACATGCAGGGTCGCTTGAAATTATACGTACAGTCACTTTAATTGTCTTATAATTTCGTTAGTTCCTTTAAGACGTACAAAGTTTGATCTATGTAACCTAGATTTGAAACTGCCTGATTTTACTTAAACCCGGGGTTCTCTCCTCTATAATAAATGATATATTGAGCCGCCTCAAACCTAGAAATCTGTCAAACTTTAGAGATTGATCTTTAACCAATAAGTATACTCTGTCCGGTACAGTAGATTCATCTCTTCGCTCTGAATATCTACATTGTAAACTATCTAGGGTCACCTTCATATACGAATGTACACTGTACAGTGTACACACCCCAATCTAAAAGTTACATGATCCAAGCCGGTACAACATGTGCTGTATAGCATTCAGTCGTACTTTCCAGTTTGGACTACCTACAGGATAAAGTCGACCCAGCACGCTTTATGCAACAAAAGTCTTGCAGTGTACAGTGTAAAGTGTGTACAGTGTACAGTGTACAGTGTAAAGTGTACAGTGTACATTGTACAGTGTTATACATTTTCTTAAATATTAGAGGTGTACTATAGACGTAAATCTAATTTTAAATTTATCCTCCATTTCTAGTGTGACATGTCCATTTCTAGTGTGATATGTCCATTTCTAGTGTGATATGTCCATTCCTAGTGTGACATGTCCATTTCTAGTGTGACATGTCCATTTCTAGTGTGACATGTCCATTTCAAGTGTGACATGTCCATTTCTAGTGTGACATGTCCATTTAAAGTGTGACATGCCCATTTATAGTGTGACATGTCCATTTATAGTGTGACATGTCCATTTATAGTGTGACATGTCCATTTATAATTTGACATGTTCATTTATAGTGTGACATGTCCATTTATAGTGTGACATGTCCATTTATAGTGTGACATGTCCATTTATAATGTGACATGTTCGTCAGAACAAGAATAAAGAAGTTTTCTTGCTTTTCGATGATAATTGACAGCTTTGAATTCTGGTTTCTATTTAAGTATTACTTGCAGATTTATCCAGCTAAATGAAAATGGGCAGAATTTAATACTTTTTTTTTTACATAAAAATGGCAAAATATTTCTTAGGAGGTGACTTGAAATTATGTTGACAGTCTATTTAAGCTTGGGTCGTTTTTTCCTTTGACAAACCGGTTCTTCGAGTTTATAAGATATATTTAATGCATCAGGATGGGTTTCTCCAGCAGATCGTGGGGTTTAAAGAGTTCCAGGTCATCATAAAAGTCTCATTCTTTTATATTACCTTGGAGAATGTAGATATGTGTAGCATAGATAATTAATATCAATCGATTCTATAGAATCAAGTCTCATTAAATTTCATCAGTCGTTAATAAATAAATTATAATTTATTTATTTAATCTAAATAATTAATTATCTGTTGAGATTATGAAGGATTAAATTAATTGAATGATCGATTAAAACGTCTTGCCAAATATTTTGCTTTGCTAGATTTGCCGATTCTTGCAAAAGAAATGGCGCAAAAACTCAACTGAAACGGGTTGCTATTGAATAAATTAATAACTCCAAACTTTACTAAATCTAGAACAGGTTTAGAGAAGTTGTAAAGAAACCCTGAACCTAATTAGATAACGGAGTGGGTTTATTAAATACCGAACCTGCTCCTTTTATCAGTTTAATCTTTGCAACCGCTAATTATGAAATTTACTGGATTATCACGTTGTTAAAATTTTTACCCATTTTACCACAAAATAGTGTAAGATATTGGTTGTATAAAGGAGTTAATTATACAGTGGGGTTTAGGAGAAGAATAGATAAACCACTGAGTTCGGAGAGTAGTTTAATCAAATCTCTAATTAGTATATTTCTCAGGTCTCCTGGAAGCAGTGGGAAAGGAATCTATGCGAAGTAGGACGGACCTAGAAGCCAAGGAAAATGATATTGCAAGATGTAGTCCTGCTCTCTCCACCAGTAAATATAGTCCCGCCTCCTCTTCATCCAGCCACGCCTCTAGACGTACTACTCCGCCCCTGCTGTTGACCAGATACAGAGCTGGTTCGGATCCTAGTATCTCCCGTCCTGATCCCTCCTCCAGGCTGGATCCAGGAGGAGGAGAGGAGAGAGCAGGGAAAAGTCTGGGTTCAAAACTCTCACCTCGCTTAGGTCAGTTTCATGCATATATATTATACTCAGGAGCAACACATTCAACTCTTAAACCGTGACAAAACTAAACTGTAACCTTGCAACCCGCAACTTTCATATTCAGTTGATTTTTGCACTTCAACCCCCCTCCCCCCTCTCCTCCCCACTACATCTCCACACACTTAATCTTTTATAACGCATTAGTCCATTTGGCGCGGTGCAGGTGTGCACGTTTAGAATGCAAAATTTTGCACAATTTAAACATTTGTAATGTTGAAGCCTAAAGCTTGGACCCTGGGAGCCGGGAGCACAGTGAGGTTTTGACGTTGGTGCCCCTGTATTCAAGAATGAGCATTATTATGTGTTTAGCATAATGTTTTGCATAAATATTGGTTGAACCAACTCCGCTGTAAGTCCAAGCTAATAGTCTACCTTCAGCGTGTGCAATGAAATGAATGGAGTTTGAATTACGCGTGGTGAAGTATAGATCTTGCAAGCTGCTGCAGGCTGGACTATAATAGATCTTGCAAGCTGCTGCAGGCTGGACTATAATAGATCTTGATAGTTTACCATTTTTTAAATTGAATTCTAGAAGCAAGAGGTACTAACTCTGGAAAAGTTTTTGGGAGAAATATAAACAAACTCTGAGAAGAATCACTGCATTTGTTTAGAATCCTGGCCCAGATACTGCAGTACCCTGTGTAGGAACGGGGAATTCGAGTAGGAATTGATTCCTCCAAAAAAACTTTTTAATGTATTATATGTAAATCAGAGAAAAATTTCATTCTTAGTTGGTAAAATGACTAATCGGCTTAATTCCTGATAAGTAGGAAATTAGAGGATAATAGAATAAACAGGCAACAAGGGGGTGTTATCTTTATAGAACTTTGGCTTCTCTGATTGTTTATATTCAATAACGTCAAAACGCCTGAACTTATATGGCCCAAATCAAATTGACCCTGGAAAAGTTTATGGAACGGAAAAGTTGAAATTTTTTGCCTGGAACTTTTACGATTTCTGAAAATCACTCAATTTAAATAGAAAATAAACAGTTAAAAGTTAAAATTAGAGAAGGGGCACGAAGCGCCCTAAAATCCATGAATTGCTAAACCATAAATGTATACATACATAATTACATTCATATTCCAGCAGGGTTGTGGATGCATATTCTTGTAATTAAAGGCAAAACATTATACATTTTATTCCAAGAGCGCAATTTTAAATGTGGGAGTTTGCAGTAAATCAAAATTTTGTTAATATCTCTTGTATGTTGTAAACCTCTCTAGTTCATTTTACCTAATTGTAGAGCTATAACAACACCAAGTATAGGGTGTTGCCTTTCTTACACCAAATATCTTCTAAAATAATAACAATGTTGTAAATTTTAAAGAGAAAAATAACTCCAAAAATAACAAGACTGTAGACAGCTAGGTTCAACTTAACAAAGTAAACATTGCTAAAAGTATTTATCTTTCAGGACGACGGAACCCCTTGAGAATGCTCAGCAACGCTATTGATTTTAGAACCCGGAGAAAACCGCGTCCTAAATCCGCTGATTTTGAGAGTGTGGATGAAACCGATGGGAAATCCCGAACATCGTCCGGAAAACTCCCAACAGAGTCGTTCAGATCAATTTCAGTGACAGATATTCTTGAAACTGTAAACTCAAACTCAAACATTAAGAGCTCCGCCACTTTACCCCCTAGGATCCTTGAAGGACGAAACTCGGCTCCCGATATACTTCCTCCCAGACCCGGAGACTTGAAGGAGTTTCGTCCCAGATCCAGAACCAGGCTTTCAGCTGCTGCCTCCGCTAAACAAAAGCTGAGCACTAGGTTTCAACCCCAGAGGAAACCTGCGCACAGGATAATACAAACCAGCAGTGTCAAGCGAGCAAAAACCTTTAGTTTAGGAGGTGGAACCCATCCTGTGGTGACAGTAGCTTACAAAACTCTTCCTAAACTCTCTAGCTCCAGATCTCTGGGCTCCAGCAGTACAGATTCATGTCAGAGCAGTCAGTCCACGGCTAGCAGTAGGAAATCTAGCAACTCCAGTAGTCTCAGCGATAACAGCGAAAGCAGGGAGATAAGCGAAGACGCGCTTCAGGAAATTGCCGCGTTTGAGAAGTTTATTGAGGAATATTTTGAGAATTGTGACAACAACAACCATAATAACCAAACTAAGGTGAAGATTGGGAAGGTTCCAGTTCATGGAATCAAGATGAAACCCAAGCTTTCAACCTGCAGTACTCTTTCAGAGGTTTTAGAACTCTCTATCTAAGCTCTGTATCCTACCAATTCTAAAATATGTTAAAATACCAGTGATCAAAACTATATTTGAAACTATGCATTTAATATTTAAAGTAATAGAAATTTACTCTAAGCGGATGTTATGCTAGCTTGGTTCTTGAGCCAAAACATTCCTATATAATTGTTTATTGATATTCATGCAGTTATTATTCGGCATTCTTAGTAAATTGTTTCATCAAATTTATATTTTATGTTAGAACCTTGAAAACTTGAAATTTTTTCAAACATATAAAGTTTATGGATAAATCCAACCCTATCCTGACTTTGATTATGCACTATACATTGAAGTTTGATAATGATGTTATATGATCCCAAATTTATTATTTCACTGATAGTTCTCAAACCCTAGCTCTTGTCTAATCAGAACTACTGCGTTTTAATATCCTTCTCCTTATCCGTAATCTTACTTTATTCTTTTCTATCCTTCTCCTTCTCCTTACTCTAATCTTTTCTATCCTTCTCCTTCTCCTTACTCTAATCTTTTCTATCCTTCTCCTTCTCCTTACTCTAATCTTTTCTATCCTTCTCCCTCTCCTTACTCTTTTCTATCCTTCTCCTTATCCTTCTCCTTAAACTGACTCTACTCTATTCCATCCTATCCTTCTCCTCATCCTTACTCTGTTCTATTCTATCCTTATCCTTATCCTTAATCTTTTCTATTCTATCCTTCTCCTTATTCTTCTTACTTTATTCTGTTCTACCCTTCTCTTTCTCCTAACTCTAATCTATCATTCTCCTTATCTTTACTCTATTCTTTTCCATCCTACCCTCCTTCTCCTTACTCTATTCTAATCTATCCTATCCTTCTCTTTCTCCTTACTCTTCTACTATATTCTTATCATTACTCTATTTTATTCTATCCTTCTCCTTATCCTTACTCTACTTTATTCTATACTTTTCCTTTTTCTTACTCTATTCTTTTCTATTCTATCCTTTCGAGCTAGTATATTTTTCCTTTTTTTTATCCCCCAACTCAAAAATGTATTTCTTCTCCAAACCCAACTTAAATTGATTCCCATCCTGATTCTGTCCGACAAACACTCTTTGTTCCCTCTACTCTCTGAGATATTAAATAAAAGATGTAAACTGTTTTTATGTTGCTCAAATACATAAACCTTCCATGGTGCATAATGATCTATTGTACATTTACTTATGAGCGTCAATCGTAGATGTAAAATGCACAACAGTAAATATGAACTCGGGTATTTTTAATCGTTTCAACTCATGTTAATTTTGTCAGCTTGGAGTGAAACCAAGAACGTGGGGTTTCCTTTCTTACTAAGTTTTCCATAATTCATCTATACATTTAATAAAGCTCTTCGCTCATATATATATATATATATATATATATTTATTTGTTTGTAAATATATGTTAGCTATAGCTAGCCAAACGGCTAGATCGAATGGGCTGACAATTATTAAGGGAACCCTCGAGTACCCCGGGGGTAATATAGGCTAAAAAAGTTTTATTTTTTTTTCGATTTTTTCTTCAAAATTAGATTTTTTTAATTCCATGGGCAACGCCGGACACTTCAGCTAGTAATTAAATATTTCTCAATGAGTTATGAGCTAGATCTAAAGATAGAGTATCACTTAGCAAAGATAAATCCAGTAATACTTCTTTACTGGTGAAATCAACTCCCATTGTATCTTTTTATGAGCTCAGAGTATAGTTTGAACGCAATAGAGAATAATTAGTTAATTATTTGATTAGCATATTGTAAACAACTCAGCGCAGAGAGTGTAATCAACTCAATATAGAGAGTGTAATCAACTAGTGTTTAGAGTGTAATCAACTCAATATAGAGAGTGTAATCAACTAAGTGAAATGAGTGTAACCAGCTCAGTGTAGAGAGTGTAATCAACTCAGTGTATAAAGTGTAATCAACTCATTGTAAAGAGTTTAATCAACTCAGTGTAGCGAGTGTAATCAACTCAGTGTAGAGAGTGTAATCAACCTAGTTAAGAGAGTGTAATCAACTCAGTGTAGAGTGTAATCAACTCAGTGTAGAGAGTGTAATCAACCTAGTTAAAAGAGTGCAATCAACTCAATTGTGGAGAGTTTAATCAACGCAATGCATAGAGTGTAATCAACTCAGTGTAGAAAATGTAATTAACTCAAAGTAGAGAGTGTAATAAACCTAGTCTAGAGAGTGTAATCAACTCTGTGTAGATAGTGTAATCAACCCAGTGTAGAGAGTGTAATCAACCCAGTGTATAGAGTGTAATCAACTCAGTGAAGAGTGTAATCAAATGTAGAGAGTGTAATCAACCCAGTGTATAGAGTGTAATCAACTCAGTGCAGAGAGTGTAATAAAATCAGTGAAAAGATTGTACTCAACTCAGTATAGAAAGTGTAATCTACTCAGTGTAAAGAGTTTAATCAACTCAGTGTAGAGAGTGTAATCAACTCAGTGAAGAGAGTGTAATTAACTCAATGTAGAAAGTGTAATCAACTCAGTGTATAGAGTGTAAACAGCTCAGTGTAGAGAGTGTAATCAGCTCACTTTGGAGAGTGTAATCAACTCATTTTGGAGAGTTTACTAAATTCAGTGTGTAAAGTGTAATCAACTCAGTGCTGTGAGCGTAATAAGCTCATTTTAGAAAGTGTAATCAACTCAATTTGGAGACTTTACTAAATTCAGTACGTAGAGTGTAGTCAATTCGACAGTGTTGTGAGTGCAATCAACTTAGTGTATAGAGAGCGTAATCAATTCAATGTATAGAGTGTAATAAACCTAGTCTAGAGAGTTTAATCAACTTAGTTTGAAGAGTTTACAAAATTCAATGTATAGAGTGTAATCAACTCAGTGAACTCTGTGTGGAGAGTTCAATCAACTGAGTTTGAAGAGTTTACAAAATTCAATGTATAGAGTGTAATTAACTCAGTGAACTCTGTGTGGAGAGTTCAATCAACTGAGTTTGAAGAGTTTACAAAATTCAATGTATAGAGTGTAATCAACTCATAAACTCTGTGTGGAGAGTTCAATCAACTGAGTTTGAAGAGTTTACTAGATGCAGTGTATAGAGAGGTCATTAAATCAGTGTTAAAAGTTTGTAATTAACTATAAGTCTAAAGAGTGTAATAAAATAAGAAATGAGAAGTATTCCAGGAATCGAAGAACATTTCAGAATTCCTAAAAATGTTTAAAATTCTTTGACAAATAAAGTTTAACATTTCTGTTTAATCCACAATTGTTATCAGTAAGGTTTGCTGATTTACATGCTGTGACGTATGATTGATTGATTGATACGCCCAATAAACAGACCATTTTTTACTCTTAGAACCGGAGAAGGGTTTTTAATTTCAATCTAGTTGTATCCAATTTCTCCCCGGTGCGGTATGTAAACATTAATTATTCAATAGAACCTGGTTTAAGCTTTCTCAGCCCCCCCCCCTCCCTCCCCAACTTCCCCCAGTCCTTCCAGGCACTACAAACAGTCAATAGTTGAAAACAATTCATACCATCACACGAAACTACCAGGAGTAGGTTTATATAGTTGGATCCTAAACCCAGGATGGAAGTTATCACTCTGACGGATGAAACCGTAGTTCCGAGCACAGACTCTAGGATTCAAGTCTCTAGGCTCATTCTTGCAGTTCAATCTGCCGTGAGGGTGACCAGCGTGGAGCTAAGGAAGCCTAGACATAGCCGGCCGGTCAATCAGATCTGGATGGATTATCTCGTTAAATCACACTGTGTTCGATATATTATAACAAGCTCAGTTCAGGTACAAAATTCCTCAAGGGTTAAAGATCAATTTTAATGTTAGTGTAACCCAATCTATTTATACGATTAAAAGAAATGGATTACTATGATTAAATTGAAAGGGCGTGACCGTAAAAAATTAATGAGAATGTAACTTAAAGGGAATTTTTTTGTAAGTTATTTTTATGAAAATCATTAATAGGCTCTTTCTAGTGATGATTTTAACTTTCGCTCTTGAATAAATTAATGACAATTTCGTAGATTTTATTGTTTAGATTGGCGATTTTTTATAAAGCACAGAAATAAATATGAAAAGTGGAATTATTTTAATTCTGAATTAACACTTAATATGTAATACAAAATAAGGATATTGTAGATAAATACTGAAAGGTTGAACTGGATAAAAGGATATTGTAGATAAATACTAAAAGGTTGAACTGGATAATAGGATATTGTAGATAAATACTGTAAGGTTGAACTGGATACAAGGATATTGTAGATAAATACTGAAAGGTTGAACTGGATAAAAGGATATTGTAGATAAATACTGAAAGATTGAACTGGATAATAGGATATTGTAGATAAATACTGTAAGGTTGAACTGGATGTAAGGATATTGTAGATGGATAATGAAAGGTTGAACTGGATATAAGGATATTGTAGATGGATAATGAAAGGTTAAACTGGATACAACGATATTGTTGATGGATATTGAAAGGATGAAGCATAAAATTAATGATCCATGTAAGCTACCCAGGGTTCTAATTACTCCTCTTTATCTCCCTTCTGGTTCTCACCAGTTGAACCTTTATAATTCAATTTATCTCAATTAATTTATAATTTTAGAAAATTACTTATTCATGGCAGTCATAATTGATTACCATAACACTTGTACTTTGGTCGATTTAGTTGATAAACTTTGGTCAATAATCAAATTGATGTAATAAAAGTAACCCGTATTGAATATTATTACATTTACATATTTAAAATTTAATTTAAAACCTTATAATGATAAGATTCATGCAGATAAACATAACAAATCTAAGATTAAAATGTACAACTATAGAATATAGAAATAGAGAAACTAAATAATATTTTGCCGGAAAAAAATGTATACTAAATATGAAATATCAACTATACACGAATGCGTCGAAAAATAATCGATGATTATTGGTTGTAATATCTAAATGATTTGTTTGGAAATACATTGATTTTTACGATCCGAGTTGAATGTTGCAACTTTCTAAATTTGTATGGACGCTACGTTCTTCGGTATAAGTCGTTTTTAACCATAATCTCCTTATAGACGCAACAGATAGTAGTAAGATGAGTAGCGATCAAAAGCGATTATTTTTCGATGTACGTCTATACCCCCTTTCATTTTTTGCGAACACTAACTTTAAAGGAAATTTCAGGAATTTTATTACCAGGCCATTAGCTGCAAACAGAACGAGAGAAACCCTAGTTAATTTTGTCCAACAAGTATTTGTACCAAATCTATCTATTCTAAACTACAAGATGAAAATCCGCGATTTTACGTAGAGCCAAAAGGGTCAGTTAGTTATGTTAGTTGAACCACTTCAAGTTTAAGAGAAGAAGTCTATATAATTAAATATACATATAGACCCAAGAAGCATTCAAGCAATCCGGAATTTAATTACTTGAAACAAGGGTCTTATCAGAGAAAGTTTGGTTTTTAAGCCTTTAATTCTTTTGGTTACAACATCAAAGGAATTAAGTTTTTGCCACAAACGGTGATTTTCTAATCCCTTTATCTTTTCGACCCAATGTCGTAGACCTTATATATTTCAAACTATAATTTCTGTTAGATCTAAGTTTAAGATGTCAAAGGTTTACACCACGTGGTTCCAAAGATATAAGGATTAGAAAATTTGAGTTTGTCGCAAAAACTCTATTCCTTCAATCTGAATATACAAAAAAAAACAGAGAATTTTAGTTCTAATTTAAAGAAGTTTTATATTTACAGTTCGGGTGAAACTATTACAGAAAGAGTTTTAAAACCAGGTAAAAAAAGATTTAAAGACCAATTGTAGAAATATTGATTTGAAAACATAAAATCTATTCTTGGGAATAACAATTTTAATTTATAAACACTGATAACCAGAAAACTCTGAAATTGGAAGACGACTTTTGGAATCAAGTTATAACTTTTAAAAGTCTAATAATCATGAGATACAGCAATTGTCCAGTGTAAACAGACCTATTTAACTAAACTAAGTGTTTACAGTAAAACTATTTGCTTTGTAATATTAGTTAACATTAAATAAAGTATTGCTTTAATGTCGTCTTCCTAATCCATTGTTTTACGGTTATCACTCATATATAAACCAGAGCGTCAAAATTTTATTTGTTTATGTACATGCCCTTAAGAGAAATGTAAAAAAAGATCCCCATCCCCCCCCCGGCCCTGGATATCATACGAATGGCGGCATGACCCTCACACAATAACCGTTTCTGATCAGGAAGCTGTTTTCTGCAGAGTTTAGACTGTACTATGGGAAACCACATAAATTAAAGACTGACGGGCATGGGCGTCACTGATAACTTCTTCTTGTAGGAAAATATATTAAAAGTTTTATAATGACATCAATATTAGGGAAAGATTTTGTAGCTGCTGGATATGCTATCTATGAGACTATTATTAGGGAAAGATCTTGTAGCTGCTGGATATGCTATATATGGAGCTTCAACTCTTCTTGTCCTAGCAAGCCAAGGAGGAACTGTACTTTATCAGGTTATTACATAAATATTAAATAATCTACATTCACGAGGTGTGTTTTTTAGAGGTCATAAAGAATTTGGCTTCAGTTTTAATTTATTAAATTTGTTTTGTAAATTTCACAAGGCATGTAAACTGTCTGTCATTCAATAACTATCTGTCTATAGGGATGTAATAAATAAATAGGAACATTTTACTGCTTTGAGTCCAAAAGCATTCCTTGCTTCCCTCGAGATTCTGAAAGTCTTGGGCAGCCTCGGCAATTTAATATTTATAGCATACCCAGTCAGGGGCGTATTCAGGAATTTTTCCAGGAGGGGGTCTAGAGCGTGGGGGGGGGGGTCACTTAGCATCCGTTGGGGTCCAAAACCCCAACCCCAAAAATTTAATGATCCAGGGATGGGGGATAAGCCCCCATAGCCCCCCCCCCTAAATACGCCTCTGTCCCTTTCGACTCCATGTAATAAAGAAATAATAGTTAATTCAGCATTCATTGAAATATTTGGATGATTTATTTACGATACTTCTATTTTTAGAACTTTAAATCTTTCTTGTTACGTGCTCAATTTTCCATGCATATTACAGGGTGTCCCATGAAACATCACAGTTGGTAAATAATTTGGAATGTCTTCTTCCCTAAACTGTAATAGATATTAAATACTTTTTGCATTTTTTTTTCATTCAACAAAATCTTTTACTAAAATATATTTTATTTTGATATCTATTTTACTATAATATGACTCCCATTATATATTCTTATAATTCTCTTTGGTATTAAATAACCTAAGTAATTATGGAAGAAGACATTTTAAATTATTCACCAACTGTCATGTTTCGTGGGACACCCCTGTATCTCAATTAACCGTTTTCCAAAATGAAATGCAATGACTTTAAATGTCGTCTTATTAGTTGGATCCATCTATTGGGGAGTTCGTGCTCATGCGAAAATTAACTGTCCCTGCAAAAGGAAATATTTTCTCCAACTTAAACCTCCAAGAAGACGTGTCTCCAAACCTGAGTTCCTTGAGGACCTTGAGTACGGATGGGAAAAACGGTGAAACAACTACGTCAGCAAATGTCGTCTTAGATGTACATTCCTTATTAGTTAAGGTGAGAAAATGATAAATGTAATTTCAATATTATGAACTTAATGTAAATTAATTCAGGGTGGTTCTGTTGTGTGCATAGTGGGGGTTGGTTTACTCTATCTAGCTGGACCTTTAGCATACATAGTAGAGAAGGCTGGTGGTAAGGCTAGAGCAGAAGCTGAAGAAGTTTGTGATATTATACCTAGAGATATTCACACAAAAATAACATTCAAGATTGGATCTTCCCGTGTAGACATGAATACAGACGGACTAAAGGAGGAATAAATATTAAATCAATATACTTTTGTGATTTGAGGATGATAAAATTCTTTTTTGAATTGTTTAATTAAATAATTTATGAATTTACGAAAAAATAGACTTTTCAGTCAATGCTTTCCAAAAATTTATCTCAGTGTGCATTTTTTAACTTTTCTTCTCTAATTCTGATATTTACGTAAAAACTCGAAAAATCATCCCTAAGAGACTTAACATATAAATTTGAAGGGGGGGGGGGGCATTCGGCGAGGAAGAATCATAACATTATGGTATTAAAAAGTTATTTTTATATTTACATCTTCCATGTGTGACGAGTGTACGCAAACGCAAAGTTATAGCGAATTTACAGGATTCATGAGTTAATATAAATGGGAAAGTGTACATAAATTAACAATTGCCAATTTAGATATATTATTTGAACCTTGCTTGAAAGGAACTCAAACTCTAATCTCAACCTTGATATTTCAAACTTAGATTTTTAATCTAGCAGAATTGATTTAGTTAGTTAGTTAGATAGTTAAAGTTTTAAGCACCTTATCAGTTCCTTTGGAGAAGTTCATTAAAATTGGAACAGCTTTTATACACATCTAATACAGAAAACTAGTTTATCGTAGACTAGGAGAAAACTAGTTTATCGTAGACTAGGAGAAAACTAGTTTATCGTATAAATCCTGAAGCCGCCTATGGATTTATCAATTAGTTAAAAATAAACAAATAATTTTTTCTGGCAATTGGCGTTACTCTTTGTGAGTAGATGCAGGGTTACCCACGGATGAGACATCAGAGACGATTGTTCGAAATTTGTTTAGTCCGTTTTCTTGCATTCAGGGTTCCTGGCTAATTTCTGTGCTTAGTCATTTAGTAAACCATCAAAATACTCAATTGAAAGGAGAAACCAAACATTATATAATCATAATCATCATATTTTTGGAGTTTTGGGTCGTCTTCACAGTTTCATATTTTGTGGGCAACCCTGTACTTACATTATGCATATAGAAATCATTTTATTGCTTCAGGCGCATTTTCAATTTAATTGCATATTCTTCTCTCATTAAAATCTTTTAAAATAAATGAAAATTAACAACGTTTAAAAATCACATTTATTAAAAACACCTGGAACTTGGAAGAACACTTGTTCGTAATGGTTTACAATTCTTAAAACATCTTTAATATTAAACATGAATAAAGTCAAACAATTAAAACAATCACTAACCGAATCTTAGTCTTGGGATTTCCATTTTGTCTGTACAGTGTGTCCCACGAAACATGACAGTTGGTGAATAGTTATGAATGTCTACTTCCATATACTGTATCAGATATTAAAGACTTTTCGGAGTTTAATTCGTTAAAAAAAGCTTTTACTCAAATATATTTTATTTTGAAATAAATTATCATAAAATATGACTGCCATGTGATATTTTTATTATTCTCTTTGGTATCAAATAACTTTAAAAAATATGGAAGAAGACATTTTATACTATTCACCAACTGTCATGTTTCGTGGGACACCCTATACCTTCAAAATTTGTCAGGTTTTAATTTATTTAAAAAATCATACTTATTTTAAATATTTCAGATCTTTAAGATACAAAGAAGCAATCCCCCAGTTTTGAAACCACACAAGACGAACAAACATTTTATATTCACTCTTTCAAAATTTATCAATTTAAAATGTTATTCATTTATTCCTCCTTTTACCAGTGGAACATCTTTCTAAAACATCTATTTTTTAATACTCGCATATTATACAGTTAAGTTCAAAATTAAAGAGACATCGAAAGAATTTATAAAATGTCGTATTCTTAACTTCCTGATAATGGAATGCTGCACAGATATTAAGTTTTTTAATTACATGATTATATGGAGCTCTTTAAAACTGTTCCCGCATATTCATGGCTATTTATCTATTTTCGCAAATACTGAGATTTACGTATAAGAGTATAAATCCCATTGAAAAATTGTCAAGACGACATTTGATAAATTCTTCCACTTCTCAAAATCTCTGGGGTAAACTGTATTACATTCTTAAAAAACTACTGAACTAGAAAAATGCATAATAAAAAAGTAAAAAGATATAACAAAACAAAATACATATTTAACTTATTTATAAATACAAAAATACTTTTTCGGCTTTTGACTAGATTTCGAAAAATACATATTATAGAGTAGGCCGCCGATTATAAAATAAATAAATTCATTTATCAACTTTCATAAAAGAAAAAAAACAATAAAGGGATTAATCGCCATTGCATTGAGTGTACAAAGAAGATTTTAAAGTAATCGTTTTTTATCCTTTTATATCGGTCAGAAATCATTGTAACAAAAAGGTTATAAAACTTTAAATAACAAATATAACATATACATCTTAGGATTACATGGAATCGGAAAACTAATATTGCGCAGTGTTGTGCAAATTTGTTTAAGGAAAGGAATTGTGAGTTTTTGCCAAAAACTGTGATTTTCTAATCCTTATATCTTTGCAACCCAATGTGGTAGACATTAGATATGTCAAACTATGAATTCTGTTAGATAAAATAATCTAAGCTTGAAATATATAAGGCTCCCACCATCAGGTTGCAAAGATAAAGGAATTATCAATTTGGAGTTTGTGACCAAGACTCATTTCTTTTAACGCACTTATAAATTTTTGACGAAATTCATAAGTATTTATAATTTAGTCTGTTAAGCAGTATATCAATTAAGAAATCAATAAACAATTAAGTTTTAACATGAATATTATTTAACAAGGATTTCTAAAGGAGGATATTATCCAACCAGGATCAAAATTAACAAGGATTTAAGATTGATTTAACGGATGTTATAATTAACAAACGTTATATTCAACGAGCCTATAGTTTCAACTTCAGTTTGATAAAACATTAATTATTGCTACTTTTTTCTTACTTTTAAACATTAATCATATGTATTAAATATAAAAATGTAGACAGTTACAGAAAACAAATACTGAATCCAAAATTCTTTTAAAATTTAGAAATAGATAATTTGAGCTTTAGGGTTTAAACATATAATAGCTTTTGCTTAGTTAACTTTATTTAATCGTCTGTGTAGCTGAAAATCTTGTTTTGAGCTTCAATCAACCAATGAAAAAATAGTTTCGTCTGTTAGGCCTTTAACAGTTGTAGCATAAAGTAAATGAATAAGAATACAAAATAATCACAATAAAGTCAGTAATGATGATGAAGTTACAATGATGTTGTGTTAAATATCAAACTTTGGTTTCCTGTGAGTTGTGGTAGAGTGGTGTTTAAGATGAAGGATGGATTAGTTCCTCCTGTAAACTCTTGACCTCCCAACCAGTCTAAGGATTGAAAAGCTAGACCAAGGAATGCTCCACCCAGAAGATCTCCAAGAGCTGTAAGATAAGGAATAGCGTTATTATCCGGGTCCAAGCCTGATCTCCAGAGCGAGTAAACCATGACCCTGCAGATATAGAGAAGTATTGCTACCTGACACCAGGCCGCTACTAGGTAGAAGAGAAGGAAGGTTGGTGTAGGAGTAGTATGACCGGCTTCAAGGTAGCTGATCATGTAAACAAATATTATATGCCCAGGAAGAACTAAGATGAGAAGGATGCAAGCTGTGAGTGAGTGATCTTGATCCCCGCAAAGAATAGAACACGGAGTAACGCAAACCTTATCCGTGGGACTTAGTCTGCCCGGACCCTTCCCTCCAGACTCAACATGAAGCTTGGTGGACATTCTTGAGGCTTGAACTGCAACCAGGTTTCCTCCGACTCCGTTCATGACAGGTTGGAATACAGCTATACCATGAAATTTAACCACAGCAAGATCAAGTATTAACCCACCGACTGAGCTGATCAGCATGGCAACAAGAACTGGAATCCAACCTGTCAGGAGAATTGGTTTAGTATCCGGGCATCTCCATGTTACCCAGGTACACACTGGGATAAAGAGAATGTACAATGAAATGATGAGCGGAGCCAACCATTGATCCTGCTCCAGGTCTGACCAGAGTAGGGATGCAATCCAGGAGAGTAGCGCCAGAGTTATTAGATCTCCCAGAGAAGCAGCAATAGGTGTTGCAACATTGTCCGGATTAATACTACATTGTCTAGAGAAAAGTATAACAAATACCATAACTAGTCCAAGAGCAAAGCTGGCCAAGCTAGCGGTCACTACAGAGCTAGCACTGAGAAGGAGAATATGTTCAACCTTGATAGATCCAGTTGTAATCCAACCCATTAGTATACCTGTGAGTGCAGCCAGAAAACCAACCACTATACCTTGACACTGAACGAGAGCAAGGTTTCCTATAATGAGAGCTAAAGCATCCCTCCTGGTGTTCATCTTATTTAGGTTGGCAGCGGTGGAGAGACGAGAGGCTAGAGTCATCTCCAGGTTACCTTTTAGTCCTAGAAGAGCAGGGACCAGGATAAATATCTCAGGGATTTCTTGAAACACTCTCCAATGCTGAACCTGATCCAGAACCATCCCCGCCCCAACCATCCCAAACCCGGCAATGAGAAAGGGAAAGAAAATCTGTAAAGTTATCATCCACCATTTCTCCTGGTCTGAACTACTCTCTATCATGACTTCAAGACCAGGGAGCAGGTTCTGCCTGTATTCGTCCTCTGTTTCTATATCCGCGTTGTAGAGTTCCTCTTCGGATGAATCCTCTTCTAAACCGTGCAACCCTATTCCTGGCTCGTCAACCGAACTTTCACGACTAGGTTGTTGTCCCATATTGTTCAACTGTATACTTTTCATCCAGCACACTTTTTATTCACTTTGAATATTTACACAGTCAACTATATTTACATATGTTTATTGATTTTTACTCCAATCCCAGCTTTTATATTTTTATTCATTCTTTATTATTTGTAATCGATTTTTTCATTTTTTTTCTCTTTCTACTACCCGGAGAAGGAACCTGCATCAAGATGAAAATTAAGTTTCGGTTTGTTCAAGTGTTTATTTCTCCGGGAGTTTATCCAACACTACAGGAAACTGGAAAGGTATGTGTACACTGACTACTGAGAGAAGGCACAGCTGTCAATTCTCAGGGTTAAATATACCTCCGGAGAAAAACTTTAAACTAAACTTATACTACTACAAACCGGTTAAATGTTCTTTTACGTAAAATAAGTTATTTTTTTTATTATGCGGATGAAGAATAGTAGTTGAGTAGAATCAGCTGAGTACCCAAATATACCGTGATACCAACAGTGTATGATCATTTGTATTAAATGTATCCTAGATCAGCAGACACAAACTTTCTCTGGGTATGAGTTTGAGTATGGGAGGTAGCTCAGTTGCAGCGTAAACATAACTCTTCAAGGATATAAATCAGGAAGGGTTTGTCTATACCAGTTGAGCCAGGACAGCCTAGAACCGAACATAAACGTGAAATTCAAGTTTCGAGCTCCAACCTTTACTTGTGCAGTTCATTCTGAACCAGACAAATCTCAGGATATCAAACCAAGGAGTGTATCAGGGTCTAGCTAATAAACATGTCGGAGAACCATGATAATTCTACTTTTGGAGAACTGCATGGAGAGCGGGGTAAACCCTCCCAGCATTATACTCCTCATGTGATCTGTATGGTTGGATTACCTGCGAGGGGGAAGACGTATATCGCGAAGAAGTTGGCGAGGTATCTCACTTGGGTCGGGATGAAGACGAAGGTTTTTAATGTTGGAGAATATAGAAGACAAGCTACTACACTATACAGGTTTTTAAAATTAATTTTAAGTACATTGACAGCTTGAAATATTAAAGGTTTAAATCATCCGGTTACAGAAATATAGAGATTAGAAAATTTGAGTTTGTGACAAAAACTCAATTTCTTTGAACGATTTACCTGTAATAAACCGGGAGGTGGGGGGGGGGGACTCTTTGATCTTGGTACAATAGGGTACATTGAACCCCCTCCCCTACCTCGGACCCGGAATCTTATTTATTTTGTAAAACAGTAATTTATAAATAAAGGAACTGAGTTTATGCCATAAACTCAGATTTTCTTTCCCCGGATCTTTAGAACCCGATGTCGTAGATTTTTTATATTTCAAACTATGAATTTTGTTGTTGTTGTTGGAGTGAAATTGACTTTATCTTTCCATTTTTACTTGAACAAATCTTAAAAGTATATCATTGTGTATCTGGCATTCCTCCTTTAAATGGAGGGTCACTTTAAAATTATGTCTACAGCCCCCTTTAAGTCTGTAAGTCCTGATTTAAGTCCTGCTTTTCTTAGGAAGCATGATTTCTTCCGAGCTGAGAACACAGAGGCTATGGCGCTTAGAGTAGCAGTCGCTGATCAGGCCCTACAGGATACTCTTCGCTGGGTTCAGGAGGGAGGAGATGTCGCTATATTTGATGCGACAAATACGACCAGGGAGCGACGACAGATGGTTTACGACACTATTGTACTCAAACATGGATTCAAATGTCTCTTTCTAGGAATTCACATTTTTTTTGATAACTGACATATTAATTGAGAAATGGTCCAATTGTTAATCTTCAGCATGATTCAGTGCTCAGTTGGTTTAACAATAAAACATGTTGAATAGAAAGTATTTGTGATAATCCTGAGCTCATAGAAACAAATATCCTGGATGTAAAGGTAACCGTTTATAACATTTTTATTAATTATTTAATTTTAACATTTTTTTAATTGTTATTTCTTAATTACTAAATGTTAAATAGCCTAATGATAAAATGAATTTGAAAGAGGTAAGTACGTAATTATATTAGCTTAAAATAGAGGGTATTTTATGAGGTTGTATTACATTGCACTGCAAAAACGAAATCATGTGACACCCCCTCTTTGTCTATCTACCCCCCCCCCCCCGCCTCTGTTTACTTTTTATATTATATTTCTATTAAATTTGTTGTCTAAGCATATTGTATATAGATTAGATCCGATGTAGATATATTTAAAAATTTCTAAGAATTGGCTGGAACAGCTGTATTTTCAAACTGTAAACGTAGCTGTAGGAAAATTAAAACCTGAAATGCAACAATATATCAATAATTTAAATGCTAATAATTACATTGAATTTTTTATCGCAAAAAAACTTACTTTTTTCAATAAAATATAGTTTTAAAAATGCATTACTAACAAAGGATAATGTTGCATATTGTATTTTTTTCTCAATTAAAGACAAAGAATACAGTCTTTATTTTGATGGAAACCTTAAATATCATCATTGCACATTGCACATTGCGCAATCCAATAAAAAAATCAATTCTTAAAATGTATTCTCCCAAATGGACAATCCGGGAGAATTTTAAAATCGAATTTTCACTCTAATTCAGCAATTATACACCATTAAAACGTTTTATAGATCTCAAATGAATCCTGAAAAATTGTTCTACAATACTGTACTCTCAGGACTCTCAGCTCACCTACCATGTCTAGCTGACCACTTCCTTTAAGGGCACAAGGGGTCTGACAGGGGTCAGACAAGACAGTTTTCTCCCTGCACCAATAAATAGACACCCTTTAGTCCGGATTACAAGAATACATATTTTAGATCTATACTCCAGATTACAGGAATATAGTTTTAGATTTATAGCCTGGATTACAGGAATATTTATTTTAGATCAGTAATGGTCCGGATTACTAGAATACATATTCTAGATCTATACTCCAGATTACAGGAATATAGTTTTAGATTTATAGCCTGGATTACAGGAATATTTATTTTAGATCAGTAATGGTCCGGATTACTAGAATACATATT